AAAAAAGAATATTTTAGTTTGCAAACTAATTTGCATTTATGATTACCTAATATATATATATATATATATATATTCTTCATCGATACAAAACCCTGTTTTGTTTGTCTACATTTGATATCAATTTTTTTCATTTCTATAAATTCGAATTAATAAATGAGCAGTAATAATTGTTTGAAATATTTATGGCATTACGATATTAATTTACTTAAATTATCTTTAATAAATGATTTCCTAATACAGTCCTACCACTCATATCGTGCAGGTTCAATTACGTCAATTTTAAGCAGGATTTCGAAAATCAAAAAATATCTAAGAAAGGTAAGGACATGCTTTTTGCTGAAGCTTCGAACTATATATTTTTTTACTCCATTCTAATAAAAAAATTATTATATATTGATTTGAATCAAGTTTTCGCATAAAAAAACACTTTTCTGGTTTTCGATTTAGTTTTGCGTATATATTTTTTTATGAATTTTGTATTATAAATAATTCTTTTAATCATAATTGAAATAATTGTGTCAATACGTGGTGAAAGCATATTTACTAAATTAATTCTTTACCAAAATAAACTAATTTATTTTTTTCGGTTTGGTTCCAGGTTCTCGTTCGTTCAAAATATCGGTTTTTTTCGATTTACGATTCGAAGTCCTACTTTTCACAATACTAGATATAAGCATTTTTTGTTCCTTTCAAATGGATTCCTTAACAACTAAACCGATATGCATGATAGTTAAACTCCAAAGTCTTTCTATAAAGGTGCCCATAACTCACTACATTTTAAAGTACGGACAATATTTAGGATCGGTTTCGTTTTTCGAAGTTAGTACATCGATTACACTTTAAAAGAAACATCAGCTGGAATATTTAAAAAAAAAATTATTATGACATATTTTCGAAAATCCAAAAATAAATTTGAATATATTTAATTTAAAGTCGTCCTTTATTTATGACGTAGCAACGCAAATACGTCAATCATACGTCAAAGTCCTTTTTTCGACCTTTCTTTGCTATGTTAAGTGCGGTAAATTAAATAAAGAATAATACTTTCCCTTGGGAGGCCGCCCTTTTCCTTAAGAGTATACTTAATTTGTTAAACTTATTAATTATTTAAATGTCATTGGAAGTCCTAATTGTCTGGGTTTAATTTTTCAATATGTATTAAAGCTTTATTAATGCTTTATATGGAGATGAATCACATCACAATTCTCAAACAATACTAATACGTCATGTGGTACGCACCAAGAGCGTGAACCACGCACTGCGCCCACTTGTGGAAATGATTTTATATATGTATGTTTATTTATTTTATTTAAATAAAATTCTTTATGAAGACTTTTTCATTTCTCTGCAAATTAAATAATATATTTTAAATTCCTTAAATTCTTACCGTTTGTGCTTGATCATTACGAGTTGGAATTGGTACTTTTAATTTGAAAGTCATAAAGCGAAAATTGCAACTGCCGTCATTAATTCGAAAAATCCTGGAAGTACATGTAGTTATTGCGAGAATTTCACCCTAGTTAACAAATGAAAAAGTATTGGTTATTATTAGTATATATGGTTACTAAATGCCTCAAGGCACAATTTTAAGTGTAGTTTATGCATATCTACTACTAGCGTCCATAAAATTACATTTTGGCAAGATGCATGCTGATGATGAGGGATGACGATGGTGAAGAAACCACATGTGCTAGAATAAATAAAAAACTATCTCACAATGCAATTGTAAAAGTCGACAGCGGCGAGTTGTAGAATTTTAATGTTAAATGTTTCATGTTTTGAGTGTTGTACCAAAGTTGGTGGATGAGTGCGTGTTTAAGTACTTGCATCTGTAGATATTTATAGTATTTGCATTTGTTTTTCAGTAGTCTATGCAGAAGAATACGTATATTAGTCGCTACTGACTGTTGCTTGGTTCCTTCATTTTGTAGCCAATAAAAATTATGGAAATTGTACAGAAAAAAATTTGCATTTAAATTGTTTGCTTGAACTTCACTTTTTTATGTGGCTTTTATAAATATAATTTTTTTTTTGTTATATTTTTATTGTCTTGCTACGTCATTAAAATATAAGCGACTACACTGCTCTATTCAGTTTTTTCGTTTAACTTTTGACCAATTTTAGCTTAAGGCGGTTTAGAAAACACTTACAACGTCTTCATTCGACTTATCTTGTCCATTATTAGGTATCTTCCAGCAGCAGATTTCATTTTGTAGGTAAATGGTATAAGCTCAGGTAAAAGTGGGAACTTTACAATTATTACTGTTAACTTTTTTGCTGTTGAAAAGACTTTAAATCCGGTATTATGCGCATAGATTTAAATTTATTTAATAAAAACAATAGGAAAAATTGTACTAGGAAACGAATTTAAAATGAAATATAAATAATGCATATTAAGATTTTTAAAACTTTTCTTACAGATTCCAATCAAGGTGAGCAGTTACTAGGAATATTATCTTTAGTTATTCTTTACAATACGAAAGGCACATAAAAGTCAATAAGTAGAGTTACAGTTAAAATAAAAAACAATAATTACTATGGTTTGCATAAATCCCCGTGTATAAAACATCTAACTATATTTAATTGAATCATTACTTGTAAATTATATTTCTCATATTTATTAGACATCACAATACATAATTAGCTATTTCGCATGCCAGTCCTATAGAATCAACAGAAGCATTAAGAAATGTACGATAACAACAGAAGAAGCTTATCATCCCATACTAGATTTACAAATATCTGATTCAAATATCTATTGATATTTTAAACATTTCCATAACTAATTGCTTTCCTTAATACTAATTAACATGGACGGTAAAATCAAACGAATTTTATTTTTATATTTTATTTTTTATTTTATTTTTAATTATATAGTTATTTTTATTTTTCATTTTCATGTTATTTTATTTTAATTATTATTAATAATAGTTTATTTTTTATTAATATTATTAATAAAGTTTATTTATATGTTCTATTTTATTTTTATTTTAATTATTTATTCATTTATTTATCTACAATTTGTAGATATACACTTATGATGAGTATTAAATTTGTTATTTATTTTTTAATTGCTTTTAATTATATTAATTATTTATAAAGAGGTTTTTCGAAAAGTAATAAACTACAACAACAAAAATTCTTTATATTATTTTAATTAATTGAATTTTTGGCTGACCATACAGCTGTAGAAATAATTTTTGTATTTAATTAATCGTAAATAATTTTTTGAGACTGTAAATACCAGAAATCGAACGCGTGTCCTGCCAAATGTGGAGTTAGCGCACCTTAACCCACTGACCTAAAGACTTTTGTAATAATTTTTAATCATTATTTTAAATTATTATTTTTCAATATGGGGTACGTATGCCATCATTTATTTATTTATAACATCACTGTTGTCCAGACATTGCCAAAGACGATGTACTGAAGGTATGGATTTATAACCACCAAGGTGGATGTGTGTTGATGAGAATGACGGCACTGCAATTGAAGGTATGGACGCCATACAAATAAAACAATGAATGTTAATCTCTGTATTAGAATTAAATTATAATTTAAATTAAATTAAATTATAATAGTGTTTCTTACCTTAAAATACCAGCTGCAATTAGGTTAATAGCTAAAGTATAAAGTATGATATAACAATATATATATAACAATTTTCTCATTATAAAATACATCGACTAAATTGAACTGGACTTATATGACTCATAATAGTGGAAAAAATATAACAGTATAAATCAGAAATATCAAAACGAGTTTAATAATAATCAAATGAGTTTTCAAATCGGCTTTACAATAGTGATAATAGATGGACAGAAATTAGTTAGATAATTATAATAATTATAAAATATAATATATAGAAATTGATAGAAACATCAGTTATTTACATGTACTTACCCACAGAAACTTCAGTTTCAATTCACACATTCCAAACACAACGAAATGACCCATAAAAGCTAATACGAGTTGTAAACAAAACGTAACAAGAACATTGATCATTTCTAAGATAGGATAGGTTGTGGCATTACAGTTGGGTTTCGTTTTGCCGTAAACTGTTAAATTAACAAATAAAAATTTACTACCATTCATCTCATGACTACAGCATTCATAATAGTCTCTTTATATGAGCCGTATGCAATTCCAATATTGTCAACAATCTCTCTAAATATCATTCTTCCATTAGCAAACACAATCTGTTTAATTTTTTCATACATTTTCATCACTAACAAATACATCAGGATAACCTATAGCATGCGTCATCTCTAACGTTGGAAAACCTCTCTCCATTCATAAAATTGTGGTTATAAATTAATATAATCGGCAAAAACCGTGTTTAATATTTAAAAATTCTGTTTTTTTACACAATATTTCACACAAACTCTCTGATCTGACATTTTACCTCGGAAAAAATTGCCAATCACGCTAATATACCGATTGCTCATGCGATCAATAAACAGATCAGTGGATCGAATACATACAAAATATTCGTTCAAAAATATTCAATTTTTAAACATTTTCATTATCTTTTCTTTATACCCTTTATAAAGCACATTACATTTGGATGCTCGTGATTTAAGGGATTTTGATTTAATAGCGTAGCTATCTCAATTAACTATACATCGATGTCAATTTTAATAGATGTTTTGGCAATACAGAGTAACATCGTTAAGATAGTGTTTGTGCAGTCGGTACTTATGGCAATTTAGCAATTTTATATAATGCAGCTAATATTGGAATTTTGTCTTATAAACTACTGGTATCAGCAAAGCAATTCCTTTTAATGAAAATGGGACAAAATCTTATAAAAAATCTGCCACAACGTAGCTGGAAGTTAAAAGTAATAAGTAAAAAACTATTAGCTCCATTTTCCTCACCTTAGACTGGTATTATGAAAAACCACAAACCACAAATTTGAAACAACTGATTGCATCCTTAAACTATGAAAAAAGCCAAGATAGCATTTTTCTTCGAAATTAGTCCTCTAGAATGATATTTAGACAAGTGTAATTTTCTGATTGTTGTGCTTCGGTTTGAAAACATAAACGCTAGCACAAACTGATACTAAGAAGATACTGAGATTCGAAAGAAAGATCTTACTTCAAATTTTTGGTCCAAAAGGATTTAAAAGAAGGGAATAGTATCGTACAAGGAAATAAAGAAATTGAGTAGCTAAGAGAGGATTAAAACGTTATTTGATTTGTTAGCTCCCATAGACTGAATTTGATTGGACAATGGAATTTGAATAAATTTTTCATGAGAGCAACCGAAAATTATGAACTGACATTCATAAATCTCAAGAAAAGATGGCCACCAAGATTAAGATGACTTGAAAGTATCGCGGCACATTTCGGAAAGAAAGAAACCATAATAAAACATAATTAAAGTGAAATATTTCTTTAACTGTATGTGCAGTATTTGCACATATAATAAAACACTATTTATTGATGGTTTCGTGAATTAGGGATTAGATTGTTTGCAAAGACACGTTAGTAGATTATATCGAGCTCAAATTTTAACAGATATATTTAACGAAGTACTATCACTAACTCACTTAATTGCTTAATCTTTGCGCGTTGAAATGTTGTATACAGAAAACCCCAAGTGATCAACAATGTCAAACGTTGTTAATAAACATATTGTTCCATTTGTTTTTTTGTTTGCACACTAATCTTTTGACATTTATTATACATTTCATGCTTATAGATCTAGTATCAACAACCGGCATAGTGACAAAAGCCTATCGCAGTTATAATTCGATTTTCAAGAACACATTTTTATTCATTAATTTACTATACGCACGTATCTAATTTAATTGTTTTTTAATTAGTCTAGTCTTTATCGAATACAATACGCTGTATTTGAACCTGTGAATCATGTACCATAGAAATCACAACCACGTTTGTTTATGTATATAATAACAACGAACTTCTCTTATCTCATATAACGTAGATACTCTAACGTTCGCCATATGGCAATCGATTCAGTACGTACATATTTAGCAACTATGTATGTTCATATCCTGCCAACAGTTTTATCAACAAAAGAAATCAAATTTAATATTAATTATATTACATGCGTATCGTTGCTTGACGCCCACTATTCAAACAGTTAAGCAGCTGCTTTGTTTACCAATTTAAGTAATTTGCATAACAATTTCAACGTTTATACCATTGATAATTAGTAAACAGTAATTCAATTAAAAACTGCAATTTAATGGCACCAAAATTATTTTGGACGGAAAGAAATACCATTAATGTGTACTGGTATACTCGTACTCGATATTCTTTGACTTTATATAAATAACACAAAAATAAAAGTGCTGTAGATTTATCCTGTTTTCATCACATAATTATTTGTATGCTAATATAATATTTTTTATTATTGAGCTTTAAACGAGATTAACTACAGACTAATTGAGTCCTTTTAAATTAAATAATATTCAATCAAAAAAAATATTATACTTATTAAACTTATTTTTTATTAACTTATAATTTATTTTTTATTAAGATATTATAAATTATTATACAAATATAGTACAACATAATAACAATTATAACTTATAAGAAAAATTTAACAAATTCTGATATACTATATTTATATTTTATACTATAATTTATATTATTTATTTTTTAGATCAGAAATTTTATAATTAAAATATAAACTTAAAACCTGCCATGCATATTTTAGGTATAACTTATTTTATTTTTATATTCTTAAAGTATGTATAATATTTCTAGAAGCGTTTAAAGAACTATTTAAATTTTTTTAATAATAGCTTTATATGAAAAAAGTAACATATTAACATAACATCGTTTGCACAAGTAAGATAAATTAATCATGATCCATAATTTAAATAATTTTAAAACAAGAAGATTTTATCATCTATTGGGCTCTCGAAGGTTGATTACGTATAACACCAGCACCCACACCTCCACTATGTGCACACATTGACGGTACAAAAGACCATTCATCAGCATCAGGATCATATACTTCAACAGTTGAAAGATTTGTTTCACCATCATAACCTATAAGAAATTCGATTAAAAAAGAAATTATCAAATTTTTTAAATAGCTTACCACCAATAGCCCATAGTTTGCCCATATTCGCAGCTAAAGCGACGCGGCTACGTTTACAATTCATTGGCGTTACTAAGTTCCATTTGTCAAATATAGGATCATATACTTCTACTGACCGCAGAAAAGAATTACCATCATAACCACCGCAAGCGTAAAGTTTACCATTGAGTGCCGCTACTCCTAAGCGACAACGTCTATTCAGCATCGATCTCATTTTAATCCAAACATCTTTAACAGGATCATAACGCTCAACTGAATCAAAGATTGACAAGCCATCGTGACCACCTAAAGCGTATACATAACCTCCTAATGCTGCTACCCCGCCTGCTGAGCGGTATTTCATCATGGGAGCAACCTTTTTTAATAGATTTAAAAATATCATCAAATTTTTATAATACTAAATACGGACTTTCCTATTATATATTAATAGTAATATATTGTTAGTAAGTGATTATGATGTAAAATAAATGATTGAGTTCAATCGCTAGGTAACGTTAGGTTGAAGTGGCAGTCTTGTATATTAATGCTTACTTAAATATTAGCTTGTTGTAGTATCACGGATAAAACACTGTTCGTAAGCTAGACTTAAAAAAATGCCTTAATCGCAGAAATCGCAAACATCTAACACACGTCCCTTACATTATGCGCGACCCCTTCTTCACATAGAAACGAAGCAAGCTGACAAACTTGTAAACTTAGCGATGTCCCTTATTTTAAAAAAGGGTAGCTCTATCAGGTTAGGTAAAAAAGGGTCAAGATTTTGAACCTGGACCTTTAGGACATGATTGGCACTTACAGCTGAAGTACAGTTTTACCCTTATCCATAAAAGTACAATCCCGACAAGAGTCGTTAAAGGGTAGACTAAATCTTATTGTCTTAAGTCTTAAGTTCAAGTCTTACGTGTTATTCAAATATGCAGTGACCTTTCAGTACCGCTTCCGTAGTACTAAATTGATTCCGCTTTAGTTGAAGCAGCTGATTAGTACAAATTCTATTTAATTTGGAAATTGTGAATGCATGGGAATGAAATTCCCATCTGTGCGGTCAGTAAGTATAACTTGGAAGAGATAAGTGACACGAATTTTTGCAAAATGCCAATAGCACTAACGACGCCAAATGGGAATTGTTGGTAATGCAATCCAAACTCAATGTTAATACCTGGATTGTCTGACAATGGAATTTACTGAAAAACTTTACTCAAATCTAACCTTAAAAAGAATTAACCTTTTATAAATATATAGAAAAATTACTCTACTTTGAGAAGCAGGTATCGATCAATTGCAGTTCGTTGGTTTATACCGACTTTGAAATCGGCGCATAACCGCAAGTGTTAGGTTAGCCTACATACTGTAACGAATAGGACTGCCCAATTGCTAAAATTTATAGGTTTTAATAGACATATCTTTCTAATCGACTTAGCGTGGCAATCACTGCCCCACTGACCAAGTTCATACTTGAAAATTGGCAAAATTTACAAAACAAAAAAAAGCGATTGAGTAGACACTACACCCTTAGACAAACGAAAATAGTTGTCAATAATTATGTCGTAAGGGATTGAAATTAGAAATTTTCAATTTATGGAACCAATTAAGACTAAATATTTTGTTATATTCACAATTAGCTAATAGCAATGTCAGTATCTCATTATCATCGCTGCAATTCATTTCGATGTACTACCTGTACTTTTGATTAATAGGTAAACAATACGGCTGAACAATAGCACACCTTTTCAATCCGATAACAGAGCAGGTTTCTCTGGATTATTATTGATATTTAACTCAATCATAATTTTATCTTCTGCTACGTAATATTCATAGAATTTATGATCTTAGAATGCTGATATCTTCAAAACTTTGATGAGAATTTAAAAAAATCACAATCTAGATTCCAAGATTAAGTGGAAAACAACCCAGCCAGAGCATCAAATCTGTGTTTACATTAAACTTGTACATGAATTTCCTTATCAGGACGACGAGAGAAGTACCTACTTCTTTTTCCATAGTACTAATCCTATTGTAACTTTATTTATCAAAATACCGGGATCAAAAGAATGCTCTGTTATTGAAAGAAGCCTTTTTATAAATTGCAAGGGTAGATGCCGATCGGCTTCGGCGTTTGCTTTTTTTACGTTGTCAAGTAATTATCTATATATTAGTTTTGTATTAAGTCATATCATAAGTACATCAGCACTGCGGGCTATCGGCCCAAAACTGTAGTTAATATCGTTTTGCTGACCTTCCAGTCGTGAATTGTCAAGTCGTTATGAATTTGGGTCAAAAATGTTGTAGAATTTCTTCCACAACCACAGTTTTAGTTGAGCGCCAATCCATTCTCTATCACTTGCCATCTTATAAAGAGCCGCAGACCGTTGATCTGAGCAGGCAGTTATTTTGACGTGGACTTAAACCATTTAATATAGCGACAGTTCAATGAAAGGCCAGGTTGTAGAGCCATAACCTGACCACCTTTTAGTTAGTTGAACAGATTATGTCATTACTGTTGCAGTCGGTCAGTGATAACGAACACAGATACTTAGTCAAAACAGTTATCATGTTATGTATTTTTATTACATATATATTTTTAATACAAAAAAAATACCTACCGTTTTCCAGGTTTCAGACTTTGGGCAATAACATTCTACTGTATTAAGAGATGTAATTCCATCGTAACCGCCGCAAACATATATATAATCATCTAAAGCAGCAACACCAACGGCACTACAAATCGCAGAGAAAAAATTTTAAAAAATATATATAAAATTTTCTCAACTTTTAATATTTAATTCGAAATAAATAAGCAGTACGCTCTTCATATAGTGTTTTTGAAAATTTCTTAAAAAATATTCTTCAGATTCTTCTATACATTTATATGTCAGCACTACTTAAATCTAAACCATTTATTAAAATTTTGATTTTATAATTCAGTATAAGTTTAATTGTACAATAACATAATTTTTGACAATTGTGCCTCCTAAACTTATATAAACTGTATCTTATCTATCATGTATCTATCATGTGTAGTAGTCATCAACTTTCTTTTACAAACCACATCAAGTTGGCTATTTCTGCTTATTTGATTCATTTCACTCCTTCAACACTCACTTTTAGCAACAAGCATTCACTCAATCAATATACTATTAGTTTACCTTGCTATTTACATTTCATTTATTACGTTTGTACGCATATCACAAGCTAATGCTTTATGTGAAATATAAATAGTTACAAGGAGACTTACAAGGAGGCATGAAATAAATAACTTCCAAGTGAATACACTGAATAAACTAATAATGTGTATAATTATAGAAACGTAGCATATTATTCTTACAAATTAAAGAAGTGGGGTATTGCTGTTCGTATATTTTATCATAACAAAAAGAATAAATGTTTAATTAAAGAAAAAAAGTTTATATACAAATATATATATAAAAGTTTATATATAGTACTTCAAAGAAAAAATTGTTCTTATATCATCAATTTGTTTAACAGTTATATTCAAATCTGAATCAAATTAAATGTAATATGACGAACGCAGTAAGTAGTATATGCACACATTTTATAATTTGATAATATAGCATCTATAGACTTGACATAAAAATTTGTGTATTGCAATATATTGTATAAACTCTACTGTACTGAACGACTATACAATTATTAACAGGTAATTAGCCGTCAATAATTAGCCATTTAGACTTGTATTTAGAGTTAGATCACGTTGGAACGGCGACCTTGCACACCAAAACACACTTGAGCTCAAGTAACAGCCTGTTGTGATACCATAGATTACAATTGTTCATTTGCAAGACGAAAGGACCGCAATGGTTAGCGTACTGACATTTTTAAGTGAAAGTAAATCAACCTGACAAGATCCTTGGCCAAGATCTTAATTTTGCAAGATGTTTTTTCTTACACTCTTGGTCAAAAATAAACAATAACAAAAAAAGTGTATTTTTTGTAGAAGCCAATACAGTAATTCAGATTGATGGTAACAAATTGGCTGGATTAGTAAACTATTCACACTTTAAAGTTTTTTTGATGATGTATATTTTTAAAAAATATAAAATTAGTAATACTTTTTAACGTAAAAAAAAAAAAATTTAACAATAAAAACCAAACATTTTACCTTCTTTTGCATAACATGGCACGTCCTTCTGCCCATTTATTTTTTACTGGATCGTATACTTCAACAGTTGATAAACGTTCGGTGCCATTAAAACCACCAAAAGCATAAAGCTTTCTATTCATAACAGCTACACCAACTCGAGATCTATATAAATATATATACCCAAATTACTTAGGCAAAGTATAAATGAATTCTACAATTATACCTCATCATTGACATTTCCTTTCCAACTTGCCATTTTTTTGAAACCGGATCATATATTTCAACAGTACTTACTGAGTCTCCATTACAAGCCAACCCACCAACGGCATAAATTTGCCCAATTGCAAATTCACTACTTCGTTGTCGTGTCCTAAAAATCCAACTTTTTCTTATAAACAACATCAATTATTATAAATAAATATATACCTAAAACTTTGCAGTAATCCACGTCTTTCTGGCATCAAATGAAAATCTTTAGCTTCATCTAATAAATCTCGGCATTGATGTGAAGTTCGTATCAGATCTTCTCGCGCTACTCGATCTGCTAAAAATTGTGGTGATAAAAGAGGTAAACGTACCTTAGCTAAGACTTGTGGAAAAACTTCAGCACGTTTTTCTTCACTATATTTTACCCAACGCATACAGGCTTCAAAAACAACTTCTTCTGTGTTTACTATAAGTTCGTCACGTCTTACAATATCTACTAACTCATCAAATTGTAATGATAAAAACTCTTCGGATTGTGATACTAAAGCAAATCTTTGCTCTATGTAATGATCAGCTGCTTCCATTAAATATGTACAGCCCAAAGAATCAGCAAATTGTCTGATACCAATTACATTTTGCGGATGGAAACTTGATATTAAAAAATCCGCACAAGCATTGCGTACCTTGGTCAGTTGCAAGAATGATGCTCCGACCATTAAGCTTTGTACATTTTGTATATCGATACGTACTTGACCACTATAAGCGTAATTAATTAGATTCTCCAGTGCACTCGATTCAATATCTTTCATCGTTATTTCTTTAATTCGACTTTCAGTCATATTCGTAGTGAACATCGCATAAAAATAAGGTATAGTGCCTGCTAAAACAATACGATGAGCTGAGAAAGATTGGTCATCCACCTAATAATAAATATTAAAGTATTATAAATAACTATTAAACCTTGATATTGATTTGAAAATAAAAAATTATGGTTTGGTAATTCTAAACACACACACAAGGCATATCTTGCCCAAAGTAATATTGTAGAAGTGTTATTAAAGTTTCACATTTTATTATTTCTCGTAAACAATTATACGTATATATAAATATTACAAGTTAACAAAGCAATGCAATTATTAGAAATGTTTGATTATTAAAGCTAATATACCTTTAAAGTGACATCACAAAGTTTTCCCATTCTCCTAATCTCCTTCATACAGGGAAAACTTTCGCTAAACATTTCTTCATGTTTATAAATAACAAACTTTTGATCATCATCACTCTCACTTATAAGTTCCATTTTATTATTTAAATTTATTAATATTAATTTATCTATTGTAATTTTGTAAATAAAAAATTATCATCCTATTGGCACAGTTTGTTTTTATTTTTGTGTAGTACTTTCCAGTGTTGTAAGTCTGATCTGCGAACAGCTGTCAAATAAAAGACAATAACAACTGACGTCTTGGATGGCCTGTAATCATAACTAAATTAAACCTTCCAAGTGATTTCATATTATTGTATTAAATTCGGTATATTAATCGTAAAGTTAATTATAATAAAATGCAACAGCAACAGCAAATCCCACAACAGTATGTTCAACCACAGCTATCGGCAAGCACAGGATCTGCTCTACCACTTGCATACAAAGTGGCTGTAGAAGATCCTGTTTCGATTATCCCGGAAGTTTCTGATATAATGCGTAGCAATGGTGATTGTGCGCAACCACGTTTGGATAGCGTCAAGTTAATTGAACAAATTGTATATCAACAACTACGTGGCTTATTTTTTGCTGCCTCTGAAGCAGCTATGCTACGTAAAATGAACCCGTCTCCTACGCAGGCTGATTTTGAATTTCTTATGAGGAACAATGCAGTCAAAATAGCACGTATGCGTAAACATATCAAAGATATGCGTATATTAAAGAAAGTTTTAAGTATCCGGCATGGTTTGAAGGATGAAAAAATTGAAAATGCTGACTCTGATGAAGAGCTACCAGTTGAAATGATGGAACTTTACGATGAAGAACGTACTAGACGTCTATTTCGTGCTGATCGCATCTCGCAAATTTTAATAGGCCAGGAGTATTTAGATTTTTCTGAAGCTCGCAAAACATCATTTTATTGTAGGAATGGTGAATCGATAAAAAATAAATTAGGACGATTCTTGGATTTGCCTACAGATGTAAACATACCTGTTGCGACAATGAATATATTGGCTTATTTAGCACATGAAACCATTGCTGTAATTGTCGATTATGCTTTCTTAACGCGTCTCAACTCAGACAATCGCGTTGTGGAGCCGTATAGTCGTGTAACATCTACGGGAGCTTCACCAGCTATGTTGCATGTATGCCCTGAAGTTACACAAGGCCGCGCTAAAGAATCAGCTGTACCAATAACTCCTAAAGAAATACATGAAGCTTTACGCCGATTTTATCAAATGTCAAATAAAAAAATTGGGTACTATCGCAGTCCTTATACACCAGACAATCAGCGAAAATTTCTTGCAATTTAAATATAGGCATAATTAATATATAATACCAATTTATCTAAAAAATTTTACATATTTAATTAAGTATTAAACTCAAATAATGTTACTTAATATTTATATTTATTTTTCGACTTAAATTAAAATGCAAAATTGAATTAATATATATTATAAAACTAAATTATCTTTGTTATTTTTATACAGCGTACCGATACTTTTCTTTACATATGATCTAATCAGACATAAAATTATAAAGTTTTTGCATGTAGTACCGCATTCTGGTGCATTTTTGTTTCCTCGTGTTGTTTCAAATGATGTTGCAGCCTGAAATCTTTATCGCAGTAATCGCAACGATATAATTTAATTTCGGCATGTATAAGTTCATGTTTCTTCAATGTATGCGCATAAGCGAATGCTTTATTACACGAGGAACATACGTATGGTTTGTGACCTCTATGTACGCTGCAATTAAATTTAATATTATCAAATTAAACGTTGATATATTAAAGAAATCTAAGAACTCAATTGAAATTTACTTACTCTTCATGCGATTTCTTAACACTTTCATAGAAAAACGTACGACTGCAAAATGAACATTTATAGGGTTTGCCACCTTTGTGTGAGTACATATGCTTACGAAGCATTTCTCTTTGATAAAATCCCAATGAACACAATCTAAAAATCAAATAATATTTATTTTTTACCAATAAACAAAACTTACAGTAAACTTACTCGCAGAAGTATTTTAGTTCTTTGTTGTGTAATTTTCGATGTTCCATTAAACGACCACGTTTGGAGTAAGTGTTACCACATATGTCACATATATGGGATACGTTCATTTTTTGTTGCTTTGCATTGGAATATTTTTTTTTACTTTCCAATGTTTCACCATGATCTACTTCATCATCTATATCTATTGTTAATTTACTTACAGCTACTTCATTGTCTTGTTTCTGATCTCTCAGTTTTTTAGTTTTTGGTATTTCCTTCGAAGATAATTTTGTATACTTTGGTATATTTTTGTTTTCCAGATATCTTTCATTATTTTGCTTGTCCGTATCGATATCTATAGGTTCATTAACTGACATATACGTTGACTCATCATCGGAAACTATTTGTATGTCTTCCTCGTATAGTTCGATTTCCTCTAGTTTTAATTCACTTTCATCATAAAACTCCTCAGGTACAATTTCATATTCAATAACTTCAGTCGATGGTGACATACGCGAATGATCGTTTTCCCTCTTTTTTACATCACTTGTGCTTACTTCCGCATCTTGTGAACTAATATCTAAATATATATGAGTAACCGCTTCTAATTCTTGTTTGACTTCTGTATTTTTATGGCTATAGTCTAGTCTATGTTCTTTTTGTTTATAATTGCAGTGTTCTGCAATTAATTTTTGTGCCCTTAATGCCTTTAAACGGAATTGAAAAGCCAAGTTCAATCCAAGTTCACAGCTTTTACATATATATTTCGGAACATTCTCATCATAATCAGACTATTAAAAAATGATTTATTACTATATATTATATTTATATGGTTGATTTACCTCATCAAAGTCAATGCCTGTAATCTGTTGAAGCATCTCGCTAGGACTTTCATCTCCTTCTTCGATGGGTATATGTACAGAGCGTTGTTTGTTATTTACTTCTAAACAAACGCGGCAACAGGACGATTCAATATCATATTTCATATTTATTTCCGGAATTTTTTAACACTGCGCTTCAATTTTAAATATTTTACTTTAAAACACTACAACTTTGTTTTTTATATTTTCATTGGATGCGTACCAATTGGGGTTGCAGTGTAAAAAAAGTACAAATGCAAAACAGTATTTTTTTAATACATTTTCTTTCGTTATATTACTAAAGGCAACTTAATATATTCTTCGTTCTACATAAAACAAATTTTGTATATAAATCTGTAAACAAACTAATTGGTGTATAAATTAATTTTATATAAGGTCTGTTCCACGAGCTAATCGTAGTAAAACTCTATTAAACCACAAGTAAAGTACAAACTGGTAACAACAGCTGTTTATTAAAGAAACAAAATAGTAAAAATAGAATTAATTTATTTAAAATTAATTTTATTTTACTAAAGTGAGTTAGAGTGCTGTTGATAATTAAATTTAATATAAGTACTTTATTTTATGTTATTATTATTATTATCAAAATTCAGGATTATGGAGCGGCAGTACAAAAATCGTATGATTTGTACTAACCAAAGGTAAAAGCACACTATTGAAACTGCCTCTGGTTATTAATTACGAAATAAAAAATTTATTTCATATGGTATAAAAGAAAATGTATCGATTATTATTTTTTTCACATTAAACTTATTAAATATACTATTATTAAGATAAATTAAATTAAAACATACTTAGTTTGAAGTTTTATAACTTCAAACTATTATAGTTTGTTAAGATAAGATATATTAAGTTAGAATTAAATATTTATTTAAGGCTACTTTAAGTTAGAATTAAGTTTCATTTTTTAATGAAATAAATTAATAAAAAAATAAACAATATACATATAAACACTTCAATGCAAGTTATTTTATGTTTGTAATTCATTACAAATCTAATCTCTTACAATGCCACGCAAATAAACAATTCGAAAATTTGAATTCAAACCAAAACAGCTGATTAACACTTTAACACAAATTTTACTTAAAAGAAAATATTTGAGTAAAGTCTGTAGCATTTTAAAATTTAGACATGTTACGTTTTCTCAAATTTTGTTAGGGATGTTATGCTTTCTCAGATGCTCGAAAATTTGGTAGTGGAACGCTCTTGTGTATGCACAGTGTTACTCAAAGTTACTATGAGTAGCTCATGGAACAGACCTATTAACAGTTGGACACAGTGTTGCCACTTCTGATGTTTCTATGTAGTCCTCTCATTGAAGTCAGTCAAAAGATATTTCGCGAATATTTTTTTATAGGAAGTAGACTAATTGAAATAGTGTGAACGTAGCGTAAGTATTTATTTAATATATAAATTGAGAATAGTCACGAAAACTCTGAAGGGCTTATTTAAGCAGTGTATAGTAAGTAGCTAACCATGAACTTGATATAAGCTAAGTATAACAAGTTATTTGGATTTAATTTTTAATTAGTGATTAAATTAAAATATTAATTATTGTATTACTGATCTATATATGATAAATTGATTTCCGCTAATAAAGTCAAATACTGTAAAATTTTAACATATTACAATAGAAATAAATAATTAATACATCAAAGTGTCTCATTCTACAAGGACATTATACATACCTGTGTTTATGTTCTTCGGTTTGTGTTCCGCTTAAAAAACAAATTTTTTTTCAAACTCTGTTTTAAACCGATTACCGGTTATTCATGTATTGTTGATATAATACCTTTATTTTACAAATATTTTTTGTTGAAAGTAGTACGTAAACAATGAAATATAAAAATACATTTCATTGTTAAGTGATTTTTTAAGGATTAAAAATGTTCGAAATAAGGAATAAAAATTCCATCAGTTTTAATTCTTTAGTAAAAACAATACGAGTTCCAGTTTTTGGTGCTCATCCATCATGTCATATTCAGACTCGATTAGAGGAAAGAAGAGCGAAGGCTCGAGCTTTGCGTGCAGAACGTCGTCGTAAACCAGACAAACCAGATGATTTTGTTTGTTATGATGATTCTGGTAGTGACGAGGAAACGTTAGCTCAACAAGAGGAGATCTTAAATACTTCATACTCGATATGTGATTTTCTGCGTGCGCGTGAAAGTGGACTCAGAGATGTGAGTATATGCATACGTCACTGCATCACGGTCTCATAATAAACTAATGAATTTATTACCTCAATATAGTTACGTAGTGTAAATTATGAACAAACAAGTAGATATGTTTTAACTCATGATATGCTTCGCGAGACTCAAATCAATTTAGGATACATAAATAAGGTGTTCTGTTCAAAATGGTTAAGTAGTCGACAAGTAGTTTTTGGAACAAAATGTAACAAGGTAAGAGTGTTAATTAACTTTTGAAAATAATATTGGTAAGATAATTTTATTTTAAGTTACTTGTTTACGATGTAAACATGCGGCGAGTAGATGCAATTCCAACATTATCAAATAAAAATATTAACCACCCTGAAGTACAAGGTGGATTACATGCTATAGAAATAAATCCGAGTAGATCATTTCTAGCTACTGGCGCACGTAATTCTTCAGATATAGCTGTTTATCGTTTACCAACCCTTGATCCAGTCTGTGTAGGCGAAAATGGACATCGAGATTTAATAATGGGAATGTGTTGGTTAGATGACCAATTTTTAGTATCGGGATCTAAAGATTCACGTTTAGCACTTTGGCGTGTTAATGAAGATATGATGGATTTTCCGGACGGTGGCCAAGAAGCTTGCCCTACTTTTGCTACAATTAATCCACTATCTGTGAAGGATTGTCGCACTGCGCAAAAAGTTAGCTTTATTTTTGTCTTGTATATCTTGTATATATATATATCATCAAAATATATTTACTTTATTTCATTACAGATACGTTCATTGTGTTTCAATAAGGAATTTAAGGAAATAGCTGCTCTATCTCTAAATGGTTATATACACATTTTTAACGCAGAAACTTTCAAACAAAAATTATCTCGTAAGTTGCCAAATTGTCAAGATAACGTTAGCATAGCTTATCACTCTGATGGACTATATGCAGTTGGTTGTCGATCGTATACTATATTATTAGATGCAAGAACATTGCAGGTAATTACGCATTATTTGTTTTTGTGTGTGTGTGTTTTTTTTTTTGGTTATTATAAATTAAAAAATCAATTATATATTTTTAGACTATAAAAAAAATAACATCTCGCTATAGTGGCTGTGGTATACGCGCTACCAGTTTCGAAGGCAATTTGCTTACTGTAGGCACAGGACTTGGCATGTTATTATTTTATGACTTACGAGCGGGGAAATATCTTGAAAGCAGTGTGAACGCTTCTCGTACTGTGGCACTAAAGTGTAGTAAAGGGATTGTTGTAAGTGAAACCAGTACAATTATCGCACCCCCTCATCGAAACAGATACAAAACGAAATTCGTCATTTTTTAGAAAACGCAAAAAATATTTTTCTTAATAATGGCATTCTTAACAAAAAAAAAGAGATTTACGTGTTTTTTCAAAAATTTGCAATAATAAAAGCAAAGTGGAATTTTGCGTGTTGGTAGACAGGTAAACTATAAACAAGTTCCATACATTAACTTAAAATTGAAGAATTTCCAGTTGTGCCTCTTTTGAAGAGGGTGTGTGATATGTTGAATAGAATGAAAATATTATAATTTATTACTTATTAGTATCCTGAAGATGAAATGGATGGTTTTCAACAAGTTAAATATGTACCAGCAATTTACACACACTGCTATGATAGCACTGGAATGCGTATATTTGCTGCTGGTGGTCCGTTACCAGCTACACTTGTAGGAAACTATGCTGGTGTTTGGCAATAACTTTTTAGCAAAATTAAGCGTCCTTGCAATTGATAACCTATTAAATGAATTATTTTATTTTGCATTAACTTTTATGTTTTTACCATAAGTTAATATGTTTTATATTTAAATATTATTTTAATTTATATATATTTATAAGAGTATGAAATGTACGTTGACTACATTTGTATTTAAAATAACTTTTTATCTCTTTTCTAAACTTTTTTAATTTTCCAACCATATTAACATTGGGTTGGAGAAAAAGTAAAAGACGTTTTTAATTGCTTTATTTTGATGAAATGGTTAATTGCATTTCGTAAAAATTTCTTTTGTTTGATTTCTGACAGATTAGTCAATTAGTCAACATTTTTTTGTGGACGATGCATGTCTAAGTAAATATTGCAAAGCAAATATAATAAAAGCTTCAGAAATTATACGATATTTCACTACAATAAAGGGGAAAAATACAGGACGGGTGCGTGACATTTATCGTAGCTACAATCTTTGAAAACTATATGTAAAAATTGCTGATCTCTTTGGTCAAACTATTTGCAGAAACAGTCGTTGATATTATGCATCCGGTTTGAAAGGAAGTGCATATGAGCAGTCACGACACTGCTACGGAACTGAAACCCGAAATCAATATTGTTATAAATTTCACTACACCCACAGTATAGTTCACATTGCGCCAGAATATCTTAAATCGTTGTAATATTTTTACTGACGTATAATAGACTAGAGAAGTGTAAAAAGTTAAAATTCGAAAATCTGTAAATGGGATAAATGGTTTTAATAGAAAATTAAAAAAGTTGTTGGAAAACAGGAGGCAATATTTAAATTTTTTCAGTTCGTTTTTTTTAATAAATTAATTTATATTTATAACGTTGAATATTTTTTCTCCTAAACTAATGTATTTCAACAAATGTTTCTTCTCTAAATTTCAATATTTTATTTTGAGAAATTACAAGTTCTATAAATCACAAGTTTGTGTTAAATAATTATATTTTGTAATTTATTTTTAAAATGAATAATTTTACAATATTCAAAAATATTGTTCTCTTTTATAAATTAATGAATTATTTATGTTCATTAATAAAAAGTATCTGTATATCTTTCACTTCACTCCATCTTTCACTTTTATATAAGCATACGTATGTATATATTTTAAATATATCTTATTGAATATTTATACAATATGTAATCATACATATTTTGTTTGTGATGAAGATATAAAATACTAATCATTTTAAATAATATATATTTTATTTAACTTATCTATATGAATAATTGAAATAATTTTAGGACTAAGACTAGGTTTAATACAAAACAAAAAAAAATATCTTTAATTTAGGTTGTCACGCTTTTAACAATTTAATCTTACTAGGTGTAGGTGTCTTTATTCTTTCCTTAACTTTTAGTAGACATCGCATTCTATATAACAATTGCCAGTTCAGAAAAACATTCATATCTATTACTAAAAAAAATATGGTTTTGCCAAATATTAAAAACTGATGGGCTTTAATTCAAATATTTAGACTCTTTTGCAAATGAAGAAAGGACAACATATAACCTTTTTATAGTTTTTATATAAATATATAAAAAATTTAAACTTAATTTAAATAAAAACGAAACTAGAACTATGGTATAGCTATATCTGAAAGGAAACAGGAAACGCTTTTTACCTTTTATAAGAAAGTATAAAATCTTGTTTCTATAAGATTTTATAAAAAAATAGTCACATAATAAAATAGTTGGTCACGACAATTTTAGATATATTTCATTTTTGCACTTTGTGTGATGGATATGAAAATATGAAAATGTTTATACAAAAGTGAAACTAACAGAACCCTTGTACTATTTTATTCGATGCGAACCAGTCTTCAGCTTCCTTTAGTCCTATATAGATTTGTAATAAATAGTTACATTAATTCTTTAATTTAAGGATGTAGTGTACTTTTCATTAAAGTTATAAATATATATTTTTAAATTTACAAATTAATTCATATTGCATTAATTTTTATTATTATTATTGAAATATATTTATTTAATTTTCGCTTAGTATAAATAATATACAAAAACATTTTATACAAACATACAATTTACATATATTACATGGACATTTACATTATAACAATTATGAATAAAAATTTTTGATAATATATAAGAGTTTGCACTGTGGTCTAATATAATAGTTATATAGTTTGAATTAAAATAATAAAACTGATTCAATACATAACGTTAAATGAATGGCTTTGTTTTTAAAGATAGTATCAGGTAATATATTGAAAAGCATTGATTTTATGTGTTATTATTTCCTGCGCCCCATGATAGAAAACTTCCCCAGCCACGTTGATTTCCATCAGCATTAACTACAAATGAAAATATTTAATAAATACAATTTGTTCACAAAATATGAATTTGATCTGAGTGAAAATATTTTATATTTAGTTTATATTTTATTAAAAACGAGCATATAAAATGATGGGTCCCCTTAAACTTAATAGTATGAATCACTACTGTACTAGTGACAATGTAATAAAATGATTTTTTATAAATTTACCTTTATGTCCCTTTGCCACACAGTTTAGAACTTCTGTTTCGGTGCGACTTAACTTTAATATTGTGTTAAGAACGGGTACTAGTCGAGTGCGCTCATCTCCATTATTTAATGTTAGGAACTAAAAATATACAAATGTGAAATAATAAAATTAATGTACGCAGTCCAACTAGATTAGCTTAGGTTATTATGAATATCTTGGGAAACCATTTAGGCCTGGTAACCTATTGTGTTCTCCAATAAATATCAAAGTCTTTCTGAACCTTTAATAAAACAAAACATACACTTTGAAGAAAGGTACTGCAGATCCTTTGAATAAATAAATACCTAAAATGTTTAAACTGATTTGCAAAGCGGCTGAAAAAAAACAAAGACCTGTCACAACTGAAAAGGTATATTTAATCTTTTAACACGGTTTTCTAACCGACTTGAGTCCTAGTAGTTTTACTTTGTTGCGTATCGTGTTACGGTGTTCTAAACATATGTATCAAAATAATGCGTCGATGAACGCCCTGTTGGAAGTTATATGTTTGAATATAATTTCCCCTAGGTAAGAAATGACGGGCATCTAAATTTTTGCTGTTCTTTGGATCACAGGTTTCGGTTAAAAAAATGTAATTCCACATCAAGTAAAAGTATAAATGCAACACTTTAGGTGTAACTGCGTAACTCTAGATGTTAATTAAAACCATTAAGCATATCTTAATCTCTATCCCAAAGACAGGTTTATAACCGACAGTAAACAGTCAACAATACCACTATAAGGATAATATTTATCTCTATGCTACACATATCGGTGGATTCTTATATATAAGAAAGCCCGACTAACGTACAGATGTCCACTTATCAGTTTCTTTTAATCTTGTATAATCCAAACAAAACACATGTAAGATATTTAATTATAAAGTGGACTCTAAATCTCACACATGGATCATATATTTATATCCATTTAAAACAAATACCTATAAATGAATATGTTACTAGCTAGCTATGTCTTACATCATAATTATATATGTTTGTATAGGAAAATCTATGCTGCCTAATACAACCACCTAGAAATGTGTCATATAAGTAGGACTTATTGTTGTGAGTAGGCTATGAAGAGTAGTTCTCGTCCAATATAATAATAATAATAATATGTAAAAGTAAAATGCATGATTATACGATTGCACTAACCTTGATTATCACGTTCTTTAAATATTCTGAATTATGCATATGAGCTTCACGTTCTACAGATCGTTCCTGGCGTCGTAATTCTTCCTTTAACATATCATTCATCTGTGATAGTTTTGCTAAGTCCTGCTCATTTTCTGCTAATAGGGCAGTTAAATGTCTTATACGGGTATCTTGCATCTGCAAACGTTCCTTAGTAGCTTGTAATTCGACATGTGTGCTTTCTACATCATCGCTTCCATGTTCCACGTCAGTTAAAGTTAATGTTGTCACTGTATCATTGATAGTATTCATGGGCGCATTTAATAATTCATCCAAAGGCATAAAATCATGTTGTGATCGTGTACGTGACGAATCATTCGATATTTTCCGATTTGCTGCAATATTTGCCAAAGCCACAGCTTCTTCGGAACCTTCAGCGTCTTCTCTTTCCATAAGCAAAATATCAATTTTACTTTGCTCAACTACATTATTTTGCATCGTATCCATAGTGGATGTGTTCAGTTTAGATGCAGCTCCAATAATTGGTGGAATACGTATTACTTTTGCGTGTTCACTTTTTAAAAGTTCAATTTTTTGCTCATAAGTTACTTCTAAATCCTTTAGTTGCACGTTATGGCATGAGTTTAAATTTTCAATTTGTTGACGATGATTTTTCAAAGACTCCTTTTGAAGATGTAACTGATTTCTGTTTTCGTTAGCCAAGCTCTCATTCTGTTCACGTAACTCCTCTATGATATTATGGAATTCTTTGATGCGTTTTTGCAGGCATTCATTGTCTTCGTTTAGTATCTGCATCCGTTTATTAGCATCTTCGATTCTTTTAAGATGCATTTTTACGCTTTGTTGTAGCTGTTTTTCGACTGCGCGCAACGATAATAATTCTTCCTCTTGTTCACGTTCTTTGGAGGTATCCCTTTTCTGATTTTTCCGCAGCACAGCCTGAGCCTTCAGTTTATATTCCAAATACTCTACGCGTAATTGTTCTAATTCGCGTTCAGTATTTTTAAGACTTAGCTGAGTTGTTTTTAAATTATTTTCCGTGTCAAATAATAGAGACTGCAACTGATCCTTATCGGTTTTGGCCGCTAAAATTATTGTTTCTTGCTTGCTAGCAATATTGGACATTTGCAAGCGCAGTTCTTCTAGTTCCATCTTAAGATTCTCATTCGCTTGCTCTAACTCTTTGCTGGACGCTAGTATGCTCTGTTTGGTGTGTACGGCATCTTTAATTTGTGTTTGCAATAGATCGATCTGTTCTTTTAATTCTTTAGAATGGTTACACTCGGCATTTTTAGCGGACTCAAGTAAAGCAATTTCTTTACGCAACTGTACAATCATTGTTTCTTTTGTTGTTAGGACTTCATTGAGAGATTCCAACTCAGTATTTTTTGATGCTAATTTTACAGTTGCTTCGTTAAGTGATTTTTCGGCAGCTTCAATTTCCAAATTAAGTACATTAGCTTGTTTGCGCGAAGATTTGAGCTTCTGGTTGTCACCCTTAAGAGTGTCAAGTAATTTCTGAGTTTTTTCTTTCTCAAGTTGCAAATCATTTATTAATATTTGCTGTTCTTTTAACTCAAGTTTCAGCTTTTCATGGTTAGTTTGCTGCTTTTCTAATTCTGTCAACTGTGTTGTTTGCTCTTGAAGTTTTTTCTTAAGTTTAATGGCTAAACCACGTAATCTATTGTATTTGTCTTCGAAACTTTCATCCAATTCTCGTAGACGACTTATCTCATCAGTGCGTGAAATAGTAGACGTTGACAACATATCGCTTTGGCTGTCTGTGGTATCGATATTTTTTAAACTTTGCACATCTTCTGTGAAAGATTTCATCTGCTTTTCCTTCTGCGAACATATAGCTTGCAATTCCTCTACTTTAACCTGTATCTGTTCAATTTCTAATTTCTTTTCTCGCAATTGTTCATCTTTTGTTAAAAGGGATTTCTCATTTTCATTTAATTTATTTTCCAAATCTTTAAGCTGAGCAGAAGTATTTTTCAGTTCAGATAGTATATCCTGTTGTTTTTCTTGTTGGCGTGAAATAACATCTCCACGAGCCTTGAGCGCTTCATTAAGTTCCCGCATTTCTCCCAATAAGTCAGCATGTTCACGTTCTTTTTGCTCAAAGCGCGCTTGTAACTCCTCATAACTTTGCCGATAACTTTGTAGTTCTTCATTCAAATCTTGGCTGTGCTGTAATTTTAATTGTTCTACAAGCGCTGAATTTTCATTTTCCCTTGTGATTTGCTGGTTCTCTATTTCAGAAGTCAATTCTTTTAGCTTGCTTTCCAAACGTTCTTTATCAATTCCGAGTTCTTGAGAAATAAGCTTGTTTGCATTTAATTCTTCTATAATATTTGACTTGTTTTGCTCATATTCCTCTAATTGCTTTAACATATCGCCAATATGTTCTTCTTTCTTGCACAATAATAATTTCAGTTCTTCAAAATCAACCTCTAAGGTTTTATTTAATTCTTCGTTGTCTTTGAGTTTGATTTTTAAATCTTTGAGTTCTTGTGATAGTTGTTTAATTTCCAATTTTTGTTTCTCTAATTCTTTGTTATCAGTTTGACTTTCTTTACCCAACGCTTGATCACTTTGTAAATCCACCAACTGCAAACATTTTTCAGTATATTGCGTTAACGCTTCCTCACTTAATATTTCTACCTCTGCAAATTTTGCTACCAAATAATTAACTTTTTTCCTTTCCAATTCTGCGCGGTTCTTATATATACATAAATCATTTCTTAAAGCATTATTTTCCGTATGCAAATTATCTAATTGCAAACGCATAGAAAGAGATTTCTTTTGTACATCTTCATTTAGTCTTTGAGCTTCCACCAATCTAGACATTATCTGCTCAAGATTATCATCCTCAAATTGTGTTTGGACATTTTGTGTTAAAAGATTAGTATTCTTCCTAGTAGCATTTAATTGTGCAAAATTTTTTTGCTGTTCTTTCTCAACTTCCACACTTAATCGTTGCATCTCATCCAGTTTTTTCAACATTTCTGTTACATTTAGGCTTTTCATTTGTGGTACAATATTTTGTTCAACAATTTTGTGTAAAAATTCAATACCTTCTTCTGTTAGCATGTTAATCTGTTTGTTTGATTTCTTAACTTGTCGATCAGAGCAATTCGTAATTGATTTATCCTTTGTAAGTTCTTCGTTCTCTTGCCTTAGAATATTCATTTGTCTGCATAATAACTGCGAAGCTGTTATGATTTCAGTTTGCCATTTTGTGACAGCTTCCGCATATTCATGTTGAGTTTCTAGTAGAATACGTTTACATTCTTTTAGTTTATTTACTTTTTTGAATACAATTACAAATCGGTCTTTAAGCGCATTAAACTTTTTACGTTGTTTTGAGTTGATGTCTTTAAGATTAGCATATTTTTCAGACATTTCTTGTAAAGAAGTTGCCATTGCATTTTCGCCATTTTTATAAGCTTCATTCTCTGCCAGAAGTTGACAAACCTGATTCTTTAAAGTATTATTAAGACTCTCTGATTCTTTAAGTTTATTAACTTCAAGTTCCAATAGGTTTAAATGCGTTTTTTGCTCCATGCCAATTACGTTAACCTATAAGAAAACAATAAAATTAAATGTCTAAAAATTACAAATAGTAATTCGTTTAAAATACCTGCTTTAAGTTACTTTCCATTTGATCAATGTCTTTTAACAAAGATTCGTTTTCATCCATCATTCTATCCAACTGCCGTTTGACTGATTCGTTCTCAATGTTTAGTTCATTTATTATATTTTCTTTTATGTTAAGATTTTGCTGTAATTCAGCTACTTTACTTGTAAGTTCCAATTTATTTGTTGTAAATTCTTCTAACATTTCTTTCATGGTCAATAAAGCCTTCTTATCTGCCTCCTTTTGTGTCTCACATATTTGCAAGGTATCTCTGAGTTTCTTATTTTCATCAGCAAATTCTTAAAACAAACATTTAATTATAAAAGACTAAATAAAAATTTTGTGGATACAATTGTGGGTTTCAAATTATGCAAAATAAATATAGAAAATATATTTGAAATTTTTCAGCATATTATAAAATTTTACTTATTAAATGTCATTATAATTCATTATTTTAAATACAAGTCGTCAAACTTTTCAGTATGATTTGTATAAAGAAAATTAGAATAAACACTAAATTATTTTATGTTATGTTAAATTTGTGATAACTGATAAATATAGGTCCAGTAGATAAACACGTTTAAGTAATTACAGACGTTTAGCTCGAAAACTTTATTGGTGCTGACCATAGATAGAATCGTCATGTCGTAGTTGTAGGTTTTACCTATATTAATTACTAATTTATTTTGCTTACCATCTTTGGCTTGCTTTGCCTTTTTAGCAATTGCTAGCAAGGATTTGTATTTTTGCAACAACTCATCTTTGCTTAGACTTTCAATGGAATTTTTCTGCACAAAAAAAAGTTACTAAAGTTTTTTAAGCTATGGATCCTAACTTACACTTGCAGTCGTTGTAGTCTCTTGTGGGTCATCCATTTCTTATAGATTTATATTTTTAATTAAGTTATACATGTAAAAAATACTAAAATATCTAATTTGCGTAATATTGATGAATCCCAATTGATATCATCATCAAGTTGGAAAAGCAAAATATAAATGACGTTTGTTTGTTTTTACTTATTTAGTTTTTGCAATGCTGCCAAATTACAAATGTCAACAGTTTTTTAAGCACTGGAATACACATTCGACTTGTACCAACTCTATTGGCTCCATAAATCAGATAACTAAATTCTTAAGCGCTTAAAAAATATGTATTTACACGTGGGTATTGCAAATATTATATAAAAATACATTTTTGAATTTCAACAATTTCTCATTTAACATTATATGTGTTCATATACGACTGCCTTGAGCGATATACCATACCTCATATGAACTAATCATATGTATTTGTTGTGTTTTCGGTAAAAAAGGGTGGCAATACTTTTCTCTTAGCTTTTATATTACATTATCTTTATTTATTATCAAGTCGCCATTCCCAAATGAAGGAAAACAAGTAACGGGACAGTGCTTTTTTCTTTAAAATGGCATTAAAAAAATTGTTTTTATTAATTTTATTATTAAAAAAATGAATTTTAAGTAGTGAACGTTAATTTGTTGTCGTTATCTGTTGTGAAAATAGTGTATAAGTTTATTAGATTTTGTGTGGAAAATTAAACGCACAAGCATCGCAAAAAGAAAAAGTCCAATAGAAAAAAATAGAAAAAATGCTTAATTATCTGGCATCCGTCGTCTCTTTCATTATCGCCTTCACCATCACCTCTTAAGTGTGAAAAAATTATTTTTTAAACTAAATTGTCGTATCTATTGATACTGAACACGCACATTTAAAAAAAAAACAGGTACTCTATAAGACTGTTTTTAAAATAATATATCAATAAAGAGCATATAATTAAACGTTTACAGTGTGCGAGCTATTGCCGGCGCTCGCCACCACTCATTAACAATCCTTGTGGAACATGTCCGAAAAGAATGTTCAAAGTGCAGCGCAGTGGACAAAGGCAACGGCAACGGCAGCGAATACGGCAGCAGCTCAAAAGTTGCACGCACAAGGATCAATTAACCTTTATGATCATCAAAATACTGCTCCTATACCAACTCAATCTACTTTATATGTTGGAAATAGTGGTACAGGACACCCAGCACCTTATGTTGCCCGATTTCAAACACCTTTAATACATCATGCTTCCGCACCCCCACCGTCACTAGCACATAATACTCCAACATTGCTTTCAACCTCTTCAAATGTACCTGCACCAAGCGGTTTCGTACCGCCATCATATTCCCCAGCTACCGTGGCAGCTGCAGCTACTTCTGTATTAACACCAAACCCCTTTGCTATCAATGCTTCTGGTAATAGTGGCAGCAGTGCTTTTGGGCTAGATCAATTCATTTTAATGAATGCTGCTACAGCAGTTTCAATAGCTGGCGCTAACGCAACTGGAACTACTGTGACAAGTGTAGCATCTATGCCACTAGTACCAAATAATGCCTCAATGCTACAACAACAAACTGTAACAAACCCAAATGTACAGCCAATAACAATAACAAGACAACATGGAGAAATGCCATCTGCTAGTAGCGGCGTTATCACCAGCACAATAGTAGAAAATGTCATCAATGCTATAAGCAATAATGGAGATGGAAATGTTAATGTAGGTGGCATACCTGGACGTCTTATAGGACTAGGTGTAAAAACACCGGATGATGAAAAACTATCTCGTGTGCATAATATGGTCGAATCTAGTCTAAGGTAATTACATGCTTTCTTATAATTTTTTCTTGAATTATAAGAAATATAATTCAATTCAATTTTTTTAGCGATCAAGCGAAACAACAAATTGCACAAATTTTGGATCGTATCTCTACATTAAAACCAGTTGAAAAATTGCTACTGTATTTACGCCTACCAGGAGAAGCTCCTGACACAGGTTAGCATTAAAAATATATATAAATTTTAGTCAAATTACAATAATTAAAAAAAATTATTTTTATTTTAGATCCTCTTCGTCATCCACAAAATCCACTTGGCACGCGTTCTGAAATTAATCATACTATAAATTGGGTACGTTCGCATTTGGAGCATGATCCACAAGTATCTATACCAAAACAAGACGTTTATAATGACTACCAGTACGTTATTGAAATGTATATATTGTTTGAAAAAAATTAATTAAATATATTTGATTTAGAGCTTATTGTGAACGTTTAAATATAAAGCCGTTATCTACTGCTGATTTTGGAAAAGTTATGAAGCAAGTCTTTCCAGGTATAAGACCTCGACGTCTAGGTACGCGTGGTAACTCCCGATACTGTTATGCTGCTATGCGGAAAACTACAAAGTTAGCTGCACCTCAATTACCACAAATGAATACTAATATAAGTGGTACACCAAATACATCAACAAATACTTCTGAGAGTAGTACATTGATATTTAGTACTGAAGAATCTGATACCGAATCATGGAATGTTATTAAAAAATGGGCTGAGAAATTGCTTAATGTAAGGGTGGACGGATTAAAAGATTTAGCAGAACGAATCAAAGGATCAAACATACTAAATTCTGGTACAATAACATGTGCCTCTCGTGCAAATGTTTCTAATAAAAAATACACTGCAAGAGAACCAAAGGAAAAACGTTTGCTTAATGTAAGTGTTTACCTTTACCTTACACAAATGTTGGTACACAAATGTTACTCCATTGTTGTTTACAATTATTTTTCTATTTTAGGACATGGGACCGCTTAAGAAAAGGCGTAAGAAAAAACGAAAGGGATCATCATCTTCCGAATCTAGTTGCAATCAGTCACAGGGAAATCAATCAATTAATAACAATAACAATAGCAATATTACAAACAATAACAAAAGTGAACAGTCTCCAAAAACGTCAAATTTCGTAGGCACAGTTTTGTCTGATGATGAACAAAAATTTATGGTTAAAATAAAGCAAGAAATTATTGATTCTCCAAACATACAACATGCGCAGCAATTGCCTCTACCACAAATACAAAACGCTGCTATAAATACAAATTATATACAGTCGACCACACATCAAGTTTTGCCTATTAACTTGGCTACAGAACAGCGCACAGTGCTTGCAAAAGCCCCACCGTCTGATATTGTAGATAACCAATTTGGTGGTATTTTATTGAATCGCACTCCTATGTCTGCTGTTAAAAATTTAACACCAAAAATTATTGAAATGTCTGCTATTAGTACACCATCGCCAGCAAATACTGCAACCACTTTAGCTACACAGACCGCAATCAGTGTGGAACAAATAGTTATTAAAGAAGAAGTTGTTGATGACTATAATCCAACAAATGTTTTTTGCAAAAAAGTACGCAAAGCGCAACAGACCAAAGGGTTTTGGATTAATTCACCAACACCTAATAATAATTCTACAATAACTTTACCATCAACAGCTTCACCAGCAGCATCTCCTGCAACACCAAATAGCATTTCAGTTATTGCAACCCCTAATATTCCAACAATATCAGTGACAGCAGCTGTATCTGCAGCCGTGACACGTGATATAGTTGGCATTGAATCACCTGTTACTAATTATTTAATGGGTCCACCAGCACAAATATCAAATAACGCATCCACTAGTCCATCAATTTCAGGATTAGGGTCCACTGCAAGTACGGATAGTGACAACTCTACCAATGTACCTAAAGTTGCTTCAAGAAATATGCAATTACTACTTCGAGCGAAGAAACAGGCTGCAGCTGCAGATGCAAATAACTCTGATATGAATGAAGATAAAGATACTGAATTACCAGAAAATCTTGGCTTACCACGAGAACGCGTCATAAGTATATGCAATATGGATAAAAGAGAACTTGATGACTATTTTCTACCTGATGAGGAAGATAATTCACAAGATCAAGATACAGAGCTGCTTCAATATTTTCAGCCGGGAGACGCTGAGGAAAAAGTAAATTCCTCTGATGCTGTAAAAACGAATCCAATGTCAATGCAAATGCCAACTAACGAAGTTAAAAAAACTACGTTGATAGCTGAACATAGTGCTTTAGGAAGTTCGACTGATAATGTCGAAAAGATTTCTATTACCTCTAATAGATTAACAAAAATAATAGCACCAAACTCAGTAAGAAACAATTTGCAAAATACTGCAGTACCAATTAGTACAGGATTTGCCAATGCAAAAATTGTACCAACATCTACATTGACTTTACCATCAAATGTAACAACAACTGCAGTAACTATTGGATCTGCCTCAGCGTCTCTGGCTCTAATGTCACAAAAGCATCAAGAACAAAAAAATCAACATATAAACTTCCAAAATAAACGTAAGATTAGTTTAAACACTCCACTTAAAAATAGCGAACTAAATTTAAATCGTAAAAACTGCATATTTTTACCTATCTCACCAAATACAAATAACGCTACTTTACAAACTAATACAACGAATAGTAATTTCTTTGCAAGTCCTGGGCTAACACGACTCAAGCCGAAACCAGCGCTCGTAAAACAACAATCACTGGACTGTGGCTCAAGTGACCCAATGATAGGCGCTAGCCGAAGAAAACGCACTTATGCTACTGTCATGCCAAACAATACCTCTGCATCAGCACCACCTAGTCCATCCGTGCTGCAACAGCAGCAGCAACAACAACAACAACAACAACTAATAGGTACTCAACAAGTTATGAATAATACATGGCTAACACTTGGTAGCAATTGTAATAACAGCTATAATGATGTGACAACTGCAAATAACGCATTGCTATCTGAGCAAGACTCGTTGGATCTAGATTTGTTTGGTACAGTTGCTGGTGATACTGCAACTTATGGTCAAAATTCATTTAGCTTCGATATAAACACAACAGCAGAATGTCAATTGACGCCTCTAAATGAAATGCAACGATCCCAATCAGTGCCATTATCGCATTTACAACGCACACACTCGCCAGTTTTTAATCGCAATGGCTTTCATACAAATTACTCCACTTGTACTTCGGTTGCGCAAACTCCAGTGCCACATGAGTTTACAGAGTCTACAATGTTTTCCGAAAACAGTTGCAGTCAACATAGTAACACACACATATCCATGATTAAATTAGAAGAATCAACTGGAATTGGCTCAGACACCACTACTGTTCTGTCATATGATGTAGATGTGAACGATATACTTTCATCGCCAGATTTTGTTGCTAGCATAGCACAAGCAAGTATTGCCACTACAACGTGCTCATCGGCTGGATCTTCATCTGGTTACAGTAGCAGTGGAACTTGCACTACATTTGGAATTACTGGCAACTGCAACAATTCAACCGTTTCACGATCAGTGCCTTCTACACCATTACCACATCATCAGCAAAACCTTTTAGGAAATAATAACTTTTACAGCCGTCGCTTACATGCCTTAAATGATGAAATTAATTTATTATCACCGAATGCTGCTGCCACATTTAACGGTAATACGACAACATTTACGGCTGCTGTTAAATGTAGCGGTATGCATGCTGCACGATCAGTATATGATATATCAAAATCTATGCCAACGACTCCTATAACTACGACTAGTTTTCGTTATAGTCCAACTGAGTATAATCGTGATTTTTTAATCAATGGCAATAGTATAGATATATCAACTTTTGGAGCCGTTGGAACCGATAATTTAATTGGTAATGTGGATGCTAGCGAAATTGACGTAAGTGTTGGTTTAGAAAATTTAAATACTGATACACTTATAGATGACGGTAATGTTACGGCTACCGGCACTGATGCGGAGTCAATTATTGTAGGAACTGATTTGCTTGGTAGTTTGTAGAATTTGCATGAAGAGAAGGTTGAGGGTACAATTAAAGTTAGTAGCACTAATACTAAAAATAACTGCAATAATAGTGATTGCAGTATGACGAATATCGAAGCTACTGAATGTGTGGTAGGTTTACTTTTAGAGCAAGTGGGTAAATTGTAAAAACTGATTCCAAACTGACACTTCCAAACAAAATTTTGATCGAATCAAAATTATATAAAAGCCATTATACTTTTTTGTGTCTTATCGAAGTATAATAACTAAAATGTCCACTATTCACCACAATAAAATAAAAATTCACCTTCAACTTTCTCTTCATTTGAATAACATATACTAACCAACAAAATTTGTAATTTTAATTTTTGTATAGTTAACATTTATTAGTTGTTATAATTATTTTTATATTTTTTTTATTTATATATGAAGAAATCAAATGAGACTCGGAAATTAAGGGATGTTCCAGAGATAAAAATGTATCATATAGGTTGGTTTTTAGAAAAACGGCAACTAGTGAGCAACAAGCTTTTCTTAATATGTTGAAGTAAATGTTATAAAAAATATACTTCAAAATACAAATTCACCGGTAAATAGAGAATTATTAAAGAATGTATAAAATTCCTTATAATTACTTACTAAATAATTAAGTCATACATTAAAAATGTCATACTGCAAGTGGATTGCCTTACTAAATAGAATTCATATCAATTATGATGTAAATCACTTCGCTTCACTCGCGGTCACATGTATACAGTTAAAGTGCCAACTATGGCACCAAAGAAGCAAAAAATAAAAACGAAAGTAAATAAATATAAATTGAATTCACAAACAATTTCTATAGTAAGCGTCTTTATAAAGATTTTCAATGTTAAATATATTTAAAAATATAAAAACGCGTTTTGTCGTCTAATATGCAATTTGCTTTATTTATTAAAGTGAAATACTGCAAATTATCTAAAAACTACCTAGTATATTTTTGGAGCTCTGAATTTTTTAAATTTATTTATTTCTATAATTGCATGATCCAATATTAAGTGACTTTTAAACGTGTATTTGATTGTTAATATCCCTGACCAATATTGCGCCTTAAACTTAAGTATATTAGAAAAATTAATTATACAAGTGTATAGTCTTGGTCTATTGTTTCTTGTTTTTTCATATATGTAATATAAAACTATTTGTAAATACTTTATTACATCCACCTCTAATCATTCTTTGACAGATGATTACAGTATACCTGTAGATAGTTTTTTTTTCTTTGTTATTTTTAATTGGGTTTAATTTTTAATTATATTTTATATGGTCATTTGTTGTTTTATTTAAGTATATCTGTTACTCTTAAGAACAGTTTTTTATTTCTGTCTATTATTTTAATGTTATATTTAAAATTAAAAATAGTAAAAGTGAAAAAAATTTGTGTTAAATGTTATTATATACATATTTTCTATTAAATTTTTATAATAAAATATTTTGTTGTGCTTTTATTTATATAAATTGCAACGAAATATTCTATCAATTTTACCAGCAGCAACAGATAAATAACATATTTTTCAATATATTATTTTCAAATTATATAAACCACAAAATTCTGTTAATTATATATATTATTTATATATTATACTTTACATTTAGAAATTTAAATAAAGGCATTTCAAATGATAGTATATATAACATGTGATAATTAATAACATGTGTATACTATCTTTTAAGATGACCTTAATTATAGTACTCTAAGCGTAAACGTGTGGACACATTACAATATAGAACTTTGTAAGGGCCATGTTATGCAGAGTGTTTCGGGCATGCCAAAATTCACTCTTTCCGACTATACCGAAAAAGCATCTTATGTAGAATGTCACATCAGTATTGCAAATTTTGTATTTTCACTAATTCTTTGTACTTTTTGGTTGTGCCTAAATGTAAAAGGAAATGTAGATATGCTCACTTTCAATTTGCTTCTAAAAACAACCAGCAAGAAAAAACTCATAGAGGCCGTAATACAACAACTGTTAATTTATTATTATATTATCTTATAATAATTGTTAATAATACTAACAAAATTATACGCTTTTCCTGTGTAATAATTAGATTATATAAAATAGGCTGTGTTGCTTACTGCTATTTTTTTCCAAATCGTACGGAAATTGGAGTAATTTGCTCCTAAAAGACGCAAATTCTGAAATTTATTACTAAACAACACTGTTTTGCCTTAGTGCCGAGGAACAAATACGCCAGTTCTCATGCCGGAGTTTGAGCGGCCATATTGTTTTTTCTCTCATTCTCAAATTTAAAATTTGCATTGAAAACAACAACAATTTCAAGCCGTGACCGTGACACTCTGCATAAGATGGCCCTAAAGAAAGCACTTATAGTTTTTGGAAATTTTTCAAATATCTTTGGAGTGTGGCACTGAGTTCTTAGTTTCATTAAATATAACTTCTGCAATAACAGTTCAAGGTTAATATAAACTATGTATTGGATAAAAGTATTTGATGTTTTTCTGTTCTCTTAATAATTTTAATTTTATAATAATATATTACAATTTTGAAACGTTAAATTGCATCTTGTTTAGAATCTTACTATATGTAAAAAATTAGTATCAAACAAAGATAAGTGAAGTTTTGAAAAAAATTTGGTTTTAGAATACAAAGAGTTAACAAAGAGTAATAACAAAGAGTTTTGGTAATATCTCAGATCATTTAGGGCTTCGTAATAGTTATTAATTAAAACTGTTACAATTTATAAAAATGCAATATCACATGTGTAAATAGAATGTACATGTACTAACTGTTTCAAACTCTTTACGTGTGAGTTCACAACAACAACCATCAGATCCAAAGGGAATTTTATTTTTACTCTGCTTAAAAAATAAACTTAATATTTTCAAAAAATATTAGTCATTTTTAAAGTTTTCGTTAAGACAAGAATCAGAATTATTTTTGCGTTTTAAAATTAAAAAAAACGAATAAAAAGAGTAAAAATAATGGAAAAAAATGGAAAATTTTTGAAATAACCTTCACTTTCGGCCTCTGCAGACAGCATATATTTTTCAAGAATCCTCAAAAACATTGATTAGGATATTTTCATACATCCATTGTATAGTTCTAACTGTTATCGTTTGTTTCGATCTTTACGACTCTTTATTGTTTTCATAAAATAGACTGAAAAAGCGCTCTGTGAAATGTAGTTCCATCAGTTTTTCGAAAATAAGACTCAGATGCCTACAATAAAGGAGTAAAAAATAAAAATATTTGAATTAATAAAATTCCAGTATTAACTAAAAAGTACCGCATAATTATTGCGTATCTTTCCTTATATATATTTTTGTATTCCTATGTATGATTCAGTTCAGTGCATAAATTTTCTTTCCCCTTAATTTTGTACTAGTGTCCATTGTCTTTTACAGTTTATTCCGTCTAGATTTCGGATTCACATTAAAACTTTTTGATTATATCAAAGTTTGTAATAAAAAAGAAAGACCGTTTTACTGTTATTTTTTTTCACTCACACTTATTATTTGCTCATATGGTATAACATGTTTAATTTATTGTCAAATATCCTTACATTTTATTTTTGTTAATCGCGTGCATACACTGTATTTAAATAGTTAGCAATGTTCTAGTTAGCAATGTTTGTAAAAGAATAAAGTACCAAATTTAGGATATAATTATGTACAAGCCTTTGAGTGTGCTTAGTCAAATATATTTTAATTGTTGTGAATTTTTAAAATTAGTCCTAAAAATTTTTTATACAATTTTTAATTTTAGTATTTTTTATTTCAAAATAATTATTTTTTTTTTTTATAAATTTTTGTGTGCATGTTCTTTTATTATGAAAAGTTTAATAGTACGTTTACATTATCACAATTATCTCAATAAATGTTTGGAACTATTATTCATTAAAACCATTAAAATATTGTGTAATAATTTTATAAAAATAATAATTATTTTATAATATGTCTGAGAATACTTTAAAAACTTTAAACGAAAAGAAACAAATTTTTAGAAATATCGAATAAAAAAATAATATACATACTTTCTAAAATTAATTTTAACTTTAAATTAAATATTTTTAAATAAAATAATTTCATTTTATTAAATTTAATTCTTAACTTTAAATATTTCTTGATATTGTCTGTTTCTTTTTGTTTTTCCTTTTGTCTCTAAAATGTTTTGATTTAATTGCTATAGTGTAAACATTCGGTTTTAATTCCGTAAAAGTCCCTAAATGAGGTTTCGTAATTGTAATATTCTCCAATTTGTAAGTAATCATATATTTTATTTTCTTATTGTGCAAAAATGGTTATTTATTGCTGCAAATTTTTTTATATATAAATTTTAATGATCTTTATTTACCATTGCTAATGGTACATAGAGTACAAATATATAAAAAAAAATCTGGTACTCATTAAATAAAAAATGTATTAATGTTTTTTTTTTATATTTGTGTTTGCTGCATTTTTTTATGAAATCAAAAATATCACATATAGTTTTCACTTAAACCATAGTTGTATGTAATTATGTATGTATATTTCAAAAAATATGTGCTTAATGTTAAATTTTATTTTTGTATATATGTAAGTCTGTTATATTAAAACGATTAAAACTAAAATTATTCATGTACAAACATTTTGAAAAAATTGAAAAATAAATATATGTTGTTTTGCTTTAGTAATTATTAAATAAAATATACACAGAAATATTAAAAATATTTAAAAAAAAATTGATAATATGATTAAATGAGTTTAAAACGAATACAAAGTCAAACTTTGTTAATTTATTAAATAACATTTAAAAAAAAATATTTGTAAATTATTATACAAAACTGAAAATAATACAGAGATGTTATATGTGCCTCAGGCTTTTCTTTTTTGTTCTTCAAAATTATTATACTTATAATTATTATTGTGATTATAAGTAGTTATATATACAAAGCGGTTAGATACATATACAATAAAAAATGAAGAAAATAATCTATACAAATAACATGAATTAAATTAAAAATAAAATAATATATACGTATACATAAATATAATATACACTTAAAATTGAGGGAAACGTAGGTAAACAGTTTAGACCAAAATAAAATAAAATAATTTTCAAAGCTTAATTTTTAATTAACTTTAATTTCATACAATATATACATAAATTAACATTTTTAGCCGCAGTACATATTATATAAAATAAATAGCCTATTCATTTAATACATAGAAATAAAAAAAAAATTATACATATATATCCATAAATACAACAAATGCACAAAATAATCTTTTGTTAATATAAAATATGAATTCAGTGGAACAATAAGCGTAAAACATATTAAACATTAAGAATTTGTCAATAGAATAAAACAAATACTTTCAATAGTAACGATTTTTAAGCATAAAGTTCAGAAAAATAAAAAAAAAACAAATAATATAGATGTTTAAAGAAATAAATGTATTTTGTAAACTATTTTATAAGTACGAGTAATCATGCGAAAAATAATATTAATGTATATCAATTTATTTACTGTATTTGTATACAAAAAACAAAAAAAAAAAAAACAGAAACAATATTAATCTAATCTTATCTAATCGATTCATTTCTCAGTGTTGTATGGTACAACAAAAACAACAATGCGCACCTTCCTGTTATATATATGCTTTTATAATTTTCCCCAGACAGTCCCCAGTCATTCCAAATACAAATCTTGGGTTTTCGGTTTAATAATTTATGAATACATACCATACAAATAAAAGTTATTACAAACACATACACATAGAAAATAACACTGAAAACAAACTCTGAACTTACAAACATAAAGCTTCATAAATATTTGTTAATTATATTAATTTTTAGTAACTAAACTTTGATTATGAAAAAGTAACATAACATAGATACGTTAAAAAATTAATTTGTGCGATTATATTTGTAGAAAAGAAAATGACAAACAATAAAAAAAATATATAAAAAAATTTATTTTAATTCTTCAATTTATTGTATGTAATTAATTTTAATTTTTCACTAAACTGTGAAAATTTCGATGCTCTGAACTTTTAGATTCGGCCCCTCATCTGTACTTGTCAAACATAAATGTC